AGAGAGATCCCAGTCATTGGCCTCGATCCCAAAGGGCTCTGGGCACCAACCAGAGGAATCTAGAACAGGGGAGCCAGAGGGTTAGTCGTGTCTGTGCTTTGGGAATATCAACATTTCAGTCACGTGGAAGGTGGATTCCCTAGGGGAGTAACGGGGGTTATTGAGGAGGGAGGCCATGTGGAAGCTGTAGGTGGTGATACTGAGGGGAGTGCCGGTGAGCTGGAACGCGAGTGGTGGCCAGGGGAGGGAGAGACAGATTCTAGATGGGCCATTGGGGTGGGAACCAATATGTGGGGCAGAGAAGCTGAGACCCCTGTGCCTGGAAGGGTGCTGGTGCCCTTGGCAGAAATCAGGAAGGTTGAGAGTGTGGGGGAGGGCTGGAGATGGAAGGAGATTTGCCTTCCCCCCAACCCTGGAGCTGTCCAGCAGGAGGCTGGAGAGGGATGCAGGGCTCCGGGCAGGCCGGCGCACACCTCTGAGTGGCTGGGGCATCTGCCACGGTCTGGGGGCTGCCAATGACCCCCAACTGCATCATCCTGCAGCCCCATCCTGCTGTCACTGGGAGGCCTCGCTCTGCTCCAGCTGTTGCCTGGTACTTCTGCTGTTGCTATGGCGACCACAGAGGTGCTAACTTGCTAATGAGTCCCCTTGGGCCACAAATAACAATAATATCCTGGTTAATAGGCCCAGGAAAGATTCCTTGGGACCAGGCTAGAGGGAAGGAGGGAGGCAGAGCCTGGCTTGGGGAAGGGATGGGGGTGGGGATTGCCTTGGGTCTTCCCTTCTCTCCTGAAGGCCCAAGCCCAGGGACGCATGGGGGCCCCAGAGCCCGTCCTTTTACAGAAGAGGTGATTGAGCTGGGGAGAAGCTTTCTTAGGGGTCACAAAGACAGAATTTGAATCCAGGCCCTTTGGCTCCATATCTTGTGTGTTCCACTCTACCAACGACATAGACCAGGAGAGGCCTGGAAGCCAAGAGGGTCAGCTGCAGCTGCCCACAGCGCCAGGGTCCTAAGGTGGGTACTCCGTGATTCACTGCCACCATTTTGGAGGTTTCAGGGACTGAGCAGGCTCAGAGGCACAATCACTAGCCAGGGTCCTGGTCAGAGACTCCCAGTTCAAATCCCGGTGGTGCTGACTCATCAGAACTCCTATGGGAATTTATAGGAATTCCGAGGTTTTATAGAGCACTTGAGGGGGAAATGGGTAGCAGGAGAGAAGGGGGAGCATTACCATCCTCATTTTGCAGCTTCAGAGAAAGGACCAGGTAACAAAACAATTGCCCCTGCCCTCAAGGGGCTTCCATTCTCCTGCAAGATATTGAAGTAAACCGATAAGAAAGTGGGAGGGGAAGGAGGAGGGAAGAGAGCTAGTTCCACCCAAAGAAGGCCTCTTGGAGATGTGGAACCCTGAGAAGAACTGAGGAAGGAAGGTCAGGATTCTCTGAGGCCCAGTGGGTCAGGAGGGAGTGCACCCCAAGCGCTTGGGGGACCAGAAACAGCTGTTCGGGTAGATCGTGGAGTAGTACATGGAAAAGAAGGCTATGAAATAAACTTGGCGAGATAGGTGGGTGTGAGATTGGGAAGGGCTTTACAAGCCAAGGTGAAGGGTTTGAGTTTTACCTAAGAGGCAGGGAGGCAGGGTAGATGCTTGAGCAGAAGGGTGATCTGGTCAGAATCTGCCGTAGGAAGATCTTTGGGGTAGCTGTGTGTAAGATGAGGTTCTAGCCTCTTGTCCAGGGAAGAGGGGATAGGTGTCGGACCTGGGCTGATGGCTGTGAAGCAATCCCCAAATCGTAGTGGACAGTGACTTGAGGGGTCTGCCACTTGCTTGGGTGTCGGGCTGAAGCAGAGGGAAGGACCCAGGTGATTCTGAGGACCGGTGATCCCCTCAGCACAAAGAGGAGGTCTGGACAAGGGACAGATAGGTGGCAGTTTGGCTTGAACTAGGTAATATGGGATCTCCAGGTGGAGTGGCCAGCAGGGAGCTGTTGGGGCAGGCCTGGGCTTCAAGGGAGTATTGAAGACTGGCTGCATTGGTTTGGGAATCAGCTGGCATGGAAATGATCATTGAACTCATGGGAACTGGTGAGAACTAGCTCCTCCTTGAGGGTGTGGAGAAAAGGCTTTTGGGGTTGAGACAAATGAGCCAGAAAGCTGAGGTCTGTTTGTTGGTTTGGTTTTTAAATTTGATTTTTTGTTTTCCAATAAGGATCTACTTTCTCTCTCTCCCACCCCCATTAGGGTGTGAGCTCCTCTGAGGGCAGGGACTGTCTTGCCCCTCCCTTTGTATCCCAAGGGCTTGGCACAGCACCTGGCACACAGTAGGTGTTTAATCAGTGTTTGCTGATTGGCTGACTTACCCAGGGTCACACAGCTAAGCCAGGTGATGTCCAAGCTGGAATTTGAACTCAAGGCTCTCCTGTTTGCTTGTCTCTGAGCCTCTCTGTCTTCGTGATTGGACAAAATGATCTGAGGCCCATATAGCTGTAATGGAGTCGCTGGAGAGCAGGATGAGGCTCTGTTGGAGGACCCCAGGACTCCCCGCTGGCACAATCCATTTGGGCCTCGTGGGGAAGGGACTATCCCTGCCCCCCCACAATGAGCTACCTTGTGTTAGTGAGCTGTCCCTGTCCCTGTGAGTGCTCACACAGATAGCCTCAGTGGGCTCACTGGCCTTGCACAGCTCTGAGAATCTGTGATTCCTGAGGAGGGGGGAATGGAGTGGGCCCTCATCTGCTTCCACCCTCATCTTACTGAGGATCAGTGTAAGGCACTTAGCAGCACAGTGCTTGGCACGTAGCAGAAACCACATGGCTGCTCGCTCTTATGGCAATGTTGAAGCTGGAAGACCCCTTGCCTGCCGTCTGCCCTTCATCTGTGCCCCATGCCTGCCGTTCCCAGCATGCTCCCGGCTCAGCCCCCATGGCACTGATCCAGTATCTTGGGAGGAGTCTTGGCTTTGCTTTAGGTTTTGCACTGACCTCTCTGTGGATAATGGAAGGGAAGCCCCTTGAGGGCAGGGACAGTCTCTTTTCTTTTTTCTTTATCCCCAGTGTCTGGCACACAGTAGGTGCTTAACAAATGTTTGTTGAGTGAATGTCTCCCTGCCCATATCCATTCATTTGCCAAATAACCTTCTTGACATCTCTCCTATAAAGGGGGAGGGGAGGGAAAAGGAAGAGAAAGAACATTTATGTGGCACCTACTAGGTGCCTAGCACTGTGCTGAGTGTTTTTTTCCCAGGCCCTCATCACCTCACACCTGGACCATTGTCTCGATTTTCTCCCCTCTCCAGGCCATCTCACACTTGGCTCAAAGTGTCTGACCTTGTCTCTCCCTCCCCCTGCCCCTTGCTCAGCCTTGACCTTTCTGTAGAGTTTCCTATATTCTTATACCTATTATCTGTCTCCCTGGAGGTTTGTAGCCAGGATTATCCCCATTTTATAAATGAGGAAACTCGAGGCAGAGAGCACTGGAGCTCCTCGACCACACAAGTGGTGTCAGAGGCAGGCTTCAAAAGTGGGTCCTCCTGACCCCTGTTCCAGGGCTTGCCTGAGGGCTCATCGGCTAGTCCAGTACCCCAACTTTATAGATGAGAAGATTGAGGCTCAAAGAGGTTAGAATCCAGTCCAAAGGCAGCATCTGGGCGAAGTCGGCACCTCTTCAGGGTCTGGCTCGCTGATTGCATGGGCCACCCTTTCGTTTCCTCTCATGGCTCCCATCGCCCTGCCTTTGTACCAGCTGTCTTCCAGGCCTGGGTGCCCTCCCCTCACCTCTGCTTCTAGAATCTTTGCCTTCCCTTGGGGCACAGTATGGTGGCCTTCTCCAAGAGTCTCCTGGCTTTGGGTCATTCTCCCTTCCCTCCAGGTCTTGGCAGGCAGACCCCTCCCTGAGATGGCCCCTCAGGCTCAGCATGCCTGGATCTCAACCTTGATCTGGAGTTTCCTCTTCCTGCTTAGCCTCAGTGGGGGCCCTGAGCTACATCCTCCCCCGCATCTCGTGTGTGTGTGTGTGTGTGTGTGTGTGTGTGTGTGTGTGTGTGTGTG